AAATGTGACAGTCAGTTATGCACATAGGGATTTGTAGATGCAAATGTCAGTCAGTCACACGGGCTCACACAAATACACTATTCTACTTCTAATGTGGGTAGAATGCTGCTAGTCAAGATAGTCCTTTATTAGCAAATGTATCTGGCTTTACAGCTTTGACTCTTGCTAGTTGTTGTATGTATTGCTGTTTAGCCTTTGGTCTATTTCCTCAGCCTGCAAAACTGAAGTTTTGAATTCGCTCAAGTGGACAGCTTGTTTACCAGCCTTCTGAAAACAGCTCTTCTGTCAAGAACTTGATAGCTAGAGGTACTTCTAAGGATACATTGTGCAGGTTCTGATACAACCTTCTAACCAGAAGAACTTGACTAACTCTTCAAGAAGGCTGGGGGGAGGGAACAACCTGCCTTGGAAGCATATTCAGCACTTCAGCTATTGCTGTGCTTCCGGTTACTGCTTCATCCTAACAGGCTATATTGCACTTGCAGTAAAAGCTTCTCTTGTCCTCTCCTGGCCTCTCAGATTCTAATTTGAGGTTAATATTTACATGCAATAACTCTTTAAGCTGAATCATGTACTTGCAGTATCAAGGGACAAAGAAGCACAGGCTGTGAAAAGGACAAAGTATTAGACTGCTGAGCAGATGTTTAGTTTATCTGCCTTGCTTCTGACTTTCAGTGTCCCTAATGTCTTCTCAGACAAGCCTTCATCAACACTGAGGCAATTACTTTTGTCTGCTGAGGGGAAGAAGCCTGGGTGACGATTATTGTCCAGTCTTTAAATCCCATGACAGACTACAGCCATAATGAAGATTCTCAATCCGCTGTGCACAGGACAAAAATATAATCATTAAGGGTAACTACTGTGTTGCCACCCCTTGCTCAAATAAGGGATAATTGTGAAAGCATCTCTTAAGGGAAACTAAATGTTGCTCAACAAAATTGTTCAGCATGTGAGTCAAGTCTTGGTAGGAAACAGGTATTTCAAGGATGACTTGTCACTGCCAACAGCCCTCCCTGTAGAGAGTTCAGATAAGACACCAAGAGCACAGTATGCTCCAGGTCTTAAGACTGACCTTCCCAGGGTAGATGTGTAGAAATTAAGTACAATGCTTGAATGGAGAGTTACCTGACTTCAGACAGTAGGTAACAGCTCATACTTCAAGGCCTACGTGTTGAGGGCCTGAAATGGGCTTTCCCTAAGGAGTGATCAGTGCTTGCTCTTCACAGGATAGTCCCTATAGGAAAGGAGGAAGACTAATGGTCTCTTAATGTGCCCTTTCTGGAGTAAATTGAAAAGTGGGTGAGCAAAATGTGGTGCATATCCTCTGATACATGCAGGAGTTTGGGGCACTTCTCCCAGGGTAGCAACATCCATAAATCTGCAGTCTAAGACTTTTGAAATAGTGCATTTAGCACAGTAGTTAAAATGGGCCATACAATTGCACAGCAAGTAACTAAGCTGTGGTGATAGCAATGGACTTGCCTACATGGAGAAGATTCAAAAGGCATCACTTAACAGTCTGCTGACATAGTTGCTGTGGGAATGATTTTGTTCTTCACTATGTCAGTATAACTGAAGGCATGACTGTCTTTGCATAAAAGCACATGCATCTCTAACCCTGCCATACTGCTGGCTGGCTCTGTTCAGATGAACTCAGAATTCACGTGTAATAGAACAGTTCTAGTCTCTTGTTGCCTTACTCCTGCAGTCTGAGTAAAGAAATACTAAGGGACTGAGTACTGTGAAAGGAAACCTCCAAGCAAGAACTAAAACCAGAAGATTTTAACTTCGTTTTAGTTACTTGCATGTAGAGCACACCAGCACTTTCTATTAAGATAAGCCAAACTTAAGTGTGACAAAGACCTTGCACAGCTTTAACTTGGGTCTAAAGCATAGAATCCAAATTTAGTTGTGGCTGAGACTCATACCCTAAGCAGACTAGATTACTGCTAGTTAAATAGGACAAGAGGAAACGGCCTCAAGCTGCTCCAGGGGAAGTTTAGGTTGGATATTAGGAAAAACTTCTTCACCGAAAGGGTAGTCAGGCACTGGACCAGGCTGCCCAGGGCAGTGGTTGAGTCCCCATCCCTGGACGTATTTAAAAGACAGGTAGATGTGGTGCTTGAGGACATGGTTTAGTGGTGGACTTGGCAGTGATAGGTTAACAGTTGGACTTGATGATCTTAAGGGTCTTTTCCAACCTTAATGATTCTATGATAAAGCTACATAATGTTGCTCCCCACCACAGTGAAATTTTAAGGTAAAGCCTGAGGCAATTTTGTGCTAGTCCTGTAGCTTAACTAAGATATCAAGAAGTAGTTATTTACAACGTGAACAGTATTAAGGCAGTCTTTGTCCATTCTTGCATTCTTAGTTTTGCTAATTCTCTTCTTCCAGATATGATTCTCAAAGATATTGAGTTCTCCAAAGGTATGATAAATAACTGTCATGCACTGTGAACTCTCACCAGGTGATATGAGCTGTACCAGACCCAAATAGAAGGACTATCCTGTAAACTGCCTAGAAAGCCCTCACTAACCTTCTCAAATTGCATTGCTAACACTGAGAATGAGCTTCTCCACAGTAAGATGGGTTATTTGTAAGGATTCAGCCAGACCTATGAGCATCCCTGCCCATCTTCTTCCACCTTGGGGTTTTGTACTGTCAGGCTCTATGCAAATAAATGGTCTGGCTTCCATAGGATGGAGGCAGATGGCAATAATTGAGGGATAACTAGAGTTTAAAGATGGCAGCTGCCCATCTGGATTTCTACCACTTTACAGTTGCCAAACTGAGGTCTTGCTTGTGCATATTTGCTCCTCCCTAGGTTATTTGCTGGTTATTGCCTCTTAATATTACTTCAGAGTGAGATACTTACTGTGGTTGTATAACACCAGAGCTGGGTGTAGGTCTACCAATTAAATTGATAAAGCAGGATCACTGACAGGCAGGACTCAGCACCTCAAGGTTGCTATTTCTTCTTTCCAGCATGGATCTGGGCAAAATGTCCTAAAGCTATGACTGAGCTCCTAGAGGGCATGACTTAGCTCTGTTCTTCTCCAGGCCTCTTCCTTCTGTTCTCTAAACAGTAACCTTCCAGAGGGGGGTGGGTGGTTAACTAATGATTCAACCTTAACTCTTTCCTTCCTCTCTATTTCTGAAGGACTTGATAAATCTAGGGAGAGGCTCATTATGCTGAAGTCTAAAGACTGTATCCACCCAAAACTATACGATTAAGCAAGCTAGTCTAGTTTTAGAGTAGAATTCAGCTGGTTTCATTTTACCTGCTTAATATGTGGTTTTCAATGGGCACATTCCTTTGTAGCACTGGCACAAGTATCCTGCAAAATCCCTGTTGGCTGTAATACTTTCCCCCTTGCTCCTTTGTCAGAGTGGGCACAAAAACCACTCTTGCAGTGGTAACACTTCCTAAATAACCATGGCTTGCTATATCAACTCTTCCTCTAACATCTATCTACTAACATCCTCTATCATGTATCTGTATCCTCTAATATCTATCTACTCAGAACCACTTGAAATTTTCACAGCAATACCTTTGTTCCCTGTCATTGAATGTTCCCTAGCTGTGGCCAGATAGGTTGCTTATAGAGAACAGAGATCTATCCCATATAAGCACTTTTATTTCTGTTGTTTTAATTGAGCAATGCTAAATGCAATTCACAAACCATCTGGTAAGCAGCTAGATCTCACTTTGCTTATATTAACAGCTGAGTTCCCTAAAGGCCTCCCTCCTGATGAAATGGAGGCCTTCAGGGTGAAATTCGCTCTTAAATCATAAAGACCTAGGAATTTGTGTTCTTACTAGATTAAGAATCAGTTAAGCATTGACATCCATTACTCTGTCAGTGGTGAGCTGGATGAGTCAGTCCGTAGCTATTGACTTAGTAATGAATTGAGGGAAGAGAGGGAGGCAGGAGTGAGAGCAAAACCCTGAAAGTAACTTCCAAGTAATAGATAAAACATTAGTTGTAGCTAAGGCAAATGAGGAATAGGCTATTCAGAATTACAAGCCTCTAATGCTAGAGGATATGCAGTGCCTCAGCACTTCTTTCTGGGTACATAGTATGTCTCAAATGGTGTGCTGGATAGAAGGGCTGGCTAGGTCTGTGGCTGCTTGCCTGGATATAGGGGAAATTACTAGTAGAGGGTAACCCAGCTACTTAATCATCTAAACAATCTCTTGGCTTCATTTGTCACTGTAAAATTCAAGGGACTAACTGAAGCCACTACAATACCCAAGAGAGAAGATTCATAGAACAGTTTCTATAGCAGATGTGAATGTCCAGTTCTTTCTGACTGGGTATATATGATCTTCAGAACTCCATAAAGACAATGAGTCCCTCTATTTGGTAAGTGTAAATCAATGCTTCATCTATGTAGGAACAAAACACGGTGACTGCAGATTATCTTATTAATGGATCTTGTACTTTAGAGGCAAAAGGGTCTCATGGCATAGAGTTTAGAGTTAAGTCATACTAGTCCATAATTCTGTTAACTTGCAGGTTTTTTTTTTTTTTAAACCTAAGGTTACCTGATTACTGTTAAGACAGGGGCGTGGGGGGTTGGGGTTGGAGATTGTGTTTATTTTTGGTGGTCCCGTGTCAGCGTCATGGGTGTTTATGACAGATTGCAGTAAAGGTTTCTTGCATTCTTTCCTATCCTACCACAGAGATGCAGCTGGCAGTGCTGAAGGAGAATAGAGCAAAATATCTGAGGTTCTATAAATAGCTTTAAACGGTAAAAAGCTAAGGGCTGACAGGTTAAAACAGAGTGATGCAAGTACAGCCTGTAGATGTAGGTCAGTGTGACCTACTGATTAGGTATTACTGAGGTGAGGGTTCATCACCTAGTGGCCATAACTTCTGTAGCCTGAGATAAACAGTGAGTCAGACTTCCTGTATGATCACTGCTAAAACTTTCAGGCATTCAGCAGAACAAAACTGGACTAACAGGTGTAATAAGAATATTTCTTCTTTAAGGTAAAATATTATGCCTGCCTACTGATTGTTATTTGGATTTTTTTTAAAAACTACAGCAAGCATAGCTGACCACCGTCTCATCATGTCTACTGAAGCTGAAACTACTACTGTCAACAGCCAGCCTGAGCAACAGGCTCCACCAAAAGCACAACCTTCAAAGAAGGAAAAAAAGAAAGGTAAGAAATGCTTACCTCTTAAACACCTCCTCTAGTCAGCATCGTTAATATCTTCCACTTGCCTAAAACTACAATCACTCCCACAGCATAGTTAAAATAACTCCAAGGTTTCAAGGTGACTGGAAAAGTAAGTAAATAAGCTAGTAAAATAAATCTCACCAGAAGGTAGGCTTTTAGCTTGAAAGGTTTTTTCTAGCTCTACATTCTAAAGCTCTCGGTTCCACTTGTGAAGTGACTCATTTGCTGAGCCTGACAAGACACCAAAAGCCCAGAGAAGTGAAAGCCTCCTGAGGAAGTGACCAGACCCAGGACCGTCCAGGTAGCTGCTCGTCTGAACCTGAACTTGCTTCTTCCTCTCCCTCCAGAGAGGGAGTCGTGTGCTTGACACAGATACAGATTCTAGTCCAGAGAAGCTAGAAAACTCATTAAATGAGAATTATTGTAGGTCAGTGATACATTACATCATGCAAATATAATTACCTCGTATAGAAATACACATCTAGGTACACACTCAGAGTATGTTGAGCATGCAGAGAAGAAAACCAAGCAGTTCTGAGAAGTAGTGGGAGCAGCAAAAATAACAAATATAGCTAAAATACCAGGTGATTACAGGGGTGGGAGTACCAGGACTTGTCGAAATGATGGTGCTAATAGGAAGTTGTAGCACAGAAACTAGGAGACTCTTGCACACCAAGAAGAGATCTGACTACACCAGAACTAGGGGCTAACATCTGAAAGGCTTACTGAACATCCTGTATGGCCATGGGAAGTACCATTTCTGCTTGGTGGTGTTGCTTAGCACTTATATCTACTTGGCTGTTGCCTATAAATATTTCAGTCTTTTATGTGGCAACTTTGTTCTGAAGTCCTCAAATATTAAGCACTGGGCTCCACTCTTTGAACTGAGGCCAGATCCTGCAAGAGCACTGTGACCTTAAAGGAGTAACTATCTTGCAGTGCACACAGTACTGGAAGGACTAGGGGTTGTTAGTCAGCTATACTCAAGGGAGAGTTTTAATATGTACTTATATGGTGTTGTGGTTTAACCCCAGCTGGTAACTGAGCCCCACACAGCCACTCACTCTCTCCCCCACAGTGGGATGGGGGAGAGAATCAGAATAGTAAAAGTGAGAAAACTCATGGGTTGATAAAGGCAGTTTAATAGGTAAAGCAGAAGCCGTGCACACAAGCAAAGCAAAACAAGGAATTAATTCACTCATTCCCATGGGCAGGCAGGTGTTCAGCCATCTCCAGGAGAGCAGGGCTCCATCACACGTAACGGTTACTTGGGCAGACAAATGCCATCACTCCAAACGTCCCCCCTTCCTTCTTCCCCAGCTTTATATGCTGAGCATGACATTGTATAGTATGGAATATCCCTTTTGGTCAGTTGGGGTCAGCTGTCCCAGCTGTGTCCCCTCCCAATTTCTTGTGCACCCCCAGCCTCCTCGCTGGGGGGGTGGGGTGAGGAGCAGAACAGGCCTTGGCTCTGTGTAAGCACTGCTCAGCAATAGCAAAAACATCCCTGTGTTGTCAACACTGTTTCCAGCACAAATCCAAAACATAGCCCCATACTACAATGAAGAAAACTAATTCTTCTCCAGCCAAAACCAGCACATATCTACATATATATTTTTTTTTAAAAGATCTCAAAGCCACAACACAGATTTTTCTCTTAAAACAACTAACCAACCTTTTCTCTGTCTCTAGGACCAGAAAAGACAGATGAATCTCTCTTGGCCAGATTCAAAGGTGATGGTGTAAGATACAAAGCTAAACTGATTGGCATTGATGATGTCCCAGAGGCAAGAGGAGACAAAATGAGTCAGGATTCAATGATGAAGCTGAAGGTAAGGGCTTGAGCTGGCATATAAGGAAAAACTTCTGGTAGCCTTCAGAAAGGAGACCAAATAGTCACTTGACGCAACTTCTAATATGGCTTAATTGTGACATAGTAATAACAGCACCATCCTAGATGGGTGTTACTTCTAAAGCTGTAACCCTTTGCTCAAAGGACAGTGTTTCTCTCATAGCTTGGGAATGCTCCTTTGGGTCTCTCATGGGCATCCAGTATGGATGCTAATAATATGAACTTGATCACAAATAGTGAGCTTGAATTTTGGATGGGGAGGGTGGAAGTCTGCAATTTAACACTGAGCTGAAAGCACAGTTGGCATCCTGTGGCAATAGTGACACCAAGAGATATAGATAAGCCAAAGAATAAATGTAGCAACAAAGATGATTACTTCTGGAGTGCAGAACACTCACATAGCTTTAATCAGGCCAGGAAAGCTGGTAAAGATCCTGCTTTGTGAACTAAGATAAGTATTTTGGAGCTTTAAAACTTCTTACAGAGGAGACACAATCTAGTTCTGAGGTATCACTTTAAACCTACTTAGACATACTTTGCAAGAGGAATGCTGCTCTAACTGTAGTTGCATAGGAATAACTAGATTACCACTAGTACAGTCACAGCCATGGGCTCATGAGGAATGTAAGGAAACAAGTTAAAGCTCAATCTACCAGAATTATCACCAATACTTTGATATTCATTCTTTTCAGGGAATGGCAGTGGCAGCCCGTTCTCCGGGTCAACACAAACAGAAGATATGGGTGAACATCTCCCTCTCTGGTATCAAGATAATAGATGAGAAAACTGGGGTAAGATGTGACTTACTCTCTTAATATGATTCTTAAAGCAACTGAGGTGCTTGTAAGTTAGACCAATCTGAACTAGTTTCCTTAATGGCATTGTGCCCCCCTTCCATGTATAAAAATTGGCTTGTGAAATGGGTTGTAATGGTGAAGCCTCCTGCCAGGAAGATAGCTACATCATATTGTGGTTAGTCAAATGCTGACAAATCTGAGTCTTGAACTGAAGCCTTCTAACAGTCTCCAACATTCTAGCTACAGAGAAGAGCAGCTCTTATGTCTCCAGCAATTTAAACCAGTAGTTATTTTTTTCCCAATTCTAGGTCATAGAGCATGAGCATCCAGTAAACAAGATCTCCTTTATTGCTCGGGATGTAACAGACAATCGTGCCTTTGGCTATATTTGTGGAGGAGAAGGCCAGCACCAATTTTTTGCCATAAAAACAGCACAACAGGTATGGATCAGACACCCTTCTCCACTTGCTATGAATAATGCTATTATGTAAACACTTAACATGTGATTAAGGGTGTAGTGTTTTGCTCGTAGCCCTGTGAAGTATAGGGGAATACCAGCACAGATGCATAGGCTCTTTTCCTAGAGGAAGGCAGTAGGAATTGACTGTATCACCAATGGCTTTTGTCTTGTTCAGCTTCTCTGTCCAGAATAAAACCACTCAAGTAGCCTTGCTTACTATGATTAACCTTGCTTAACATGTCCATGCACCATGGAAGTCATTAGTGAGATGAATGGAGCTGTTATCATAGGCTTTCCTGTACAGTGGCCTGTTACTGTCAGTGAGAATGCTAATTCTTGAGTCAAATAGCCAGAGCTTCACTCAGAATTAACAGGAATGGTGTTAGAACTCCACCAGTCTAGTTCTCATGAAGCTTTGTCTTGTGCAGCAGTGGAAACAGACTTACTCAATTGCAATAGTGTTTCTGGGGCTAGTGAATGGCAGGTCTGGTCCTCCTAGAGTTAATTCTGGGAGGAATTCTGATCCTTCTGTGATAGGTTTTCCCCTTGCAGAAGTCCTGTACACAGAGTTTGTCTCTCTGAAGAGAACCTGTATATAAGAAGTATTGGAAACAAGCTACTTGGAATTACTGCTGAGTATTATGCAGCTTCCTAAATGACCTGAACTTTAGTTAGTTATTTATAAAGACATAATGACAAGCTGTTAAATGATAATAGTTACTATAATGACTTGACAAGCCAAGACTTCAAAGCTAGTAGTTTCTTCATACACATCACTGCCTACCCTCCTGAAGAACCTGTTGGCAGCTTCAGACCCACTACAGGTGGGACTGAGGGACTACTTGTTGGAGCCTGTTACTACTATATTAACAGCTGTAACACCCTCTCCTAAGCCTGTTTTATTAATTTATCAGAGTCCTGTGTTGTATTGGCTTCACTGGAATTGTAGATTAAGTACAAAAGCTTTCTGTGTGTGCTCTGGAGTGGAGTCTGTTCTCTGAGCTTTTCACTGTGGGGTGCTGCTTGCCAGCCTATAAGCTTAGCCAAGCTGTAGACAGCTCTTGACTTGCTGCTAGTTGTTTTTAACACAAACTTGTCTAGATGAGAAGGATTTCTGCAACTCTAGACTGCTGCAGCTGTACTGTTTGTCAAAGTTGATAATTCTTGAAATGGCTGTTCCTGCAGTTGCATGTCTAAAAGTCTTGATTAGGAGAAGATGATGCTCAGATGTCAACAGTGAGATCTGTTCAACACATTCTCTGCTTGAGCCAAAGGCAGTGGCTGACTCTAGACACTGACAGAGCTGTATATGCCTCGAGCAAAAGTTCCAAATCAGCATAGCTGAACTTGCCACCATCTCAGCAACCACTTAAAACATTCTTGTTAATGTGCAGGGAATGCAGTGCCTTTCTAACTCGCACTAAACTTTCATCCTGATACAGATACCACTTAAAGCTGGTATCTGCTATGCACATTTGAGGTGATGATAATCTTACCTTATGCTTGCCTTGCTGATTTACTATTTGCATCCTGTTTAAAGTAAATGTATTGACTATAGAAGCTTTCTCCAGGTTCAATGTTGGAGTTGGTAGAAAACAGATGGATGCAAAATGTTTTCCTCTCATGGGACTACCAGACAGCTTGGATAAACTTTGCACTTTTGAGGAAATATGATTAGACTTGCCATGCACTTATGAAATCTTGCACTGCAAGCTTTTTAGCAAAAAATAGCAGGCTTAGCACAAATACAGCAACTTGCCCTGTGGAGTTAACAACAGTTCTCAGCAAGTTGTGCCCCATTACCCTTGGATTCTGCATATGCTCTCTTGTGTGGAGACTAGACAGTCCTTTAAACTCTTGCTTTTCCTGTCATCTCAGCCTTACTCTTGCACTATTTAGGAAAGTTTCACTTGCTGTTCCCCAGACTTCTACTGAAGCAAGCTACGAGTAGTACATGGCCTAAAATCTACGTTCTTTTTCAGGCTGAGCCTCTAGTTGTTGATCTTAAGGACCTATTCCAACTAATATATAATATGAAGAAGAAGGATGAAGAAGACAAGAAAAAGGTGAGTAAAATTATAGAAACTGCACTAATCAGCACAGAAATAAAGCTTGTTTCAGCTTTGGCTTGGCTTTTGGGCTCTTGTAAGACTTGAACTTAAGTCTGTTTAAATCCAGGATCACTTGAAGCTGTTGGTTGGTAGTTGTACCAGCAGTTTGATTACCTCCTAGATCTGGTAAGCTCTCCAAAGCGAGAGGCTTTGGATATTCTACATGATGTCTAGGTACTAAAAGCCTTCTTTTCTTCTTTAGAGTGAAGAAGCAAGTAAGACTGAGGTAAGTCACTCCAACTCAGCCCCACTTCACTAGGTATGCTGCTGCAACACAACTAGCTTTCACTTTCTTTACACTGCCAGCATTATGGACGCAATGTCAGATCCCCAGTTACATTGAAATGGGATTAAAAGGGGCCTACAGAATTGAGTAGTGGTCTCCCTCATACTTCCTCTTTCCATCACTTGCGCTTTGAAGCCTGCAAGCTCCTTGCTTAAGGCAAGTTTTGGTATTCCAATTATTGCTGACACTGTTATCCATCTATTACAGAATGGTAGTGAAGCACTACCTGCTGATCAAGCTGACAAAATGAAACTGGTATGTTAAATTTTAGAACTTTTATGCTGATGCCATTAAGGAGTTCATAACTGACTGTCTCCACATTGTGTGGGAAATGCAGTATTTATAGATGTGTTTACAGTAGATCTGCATAATGCTTGATTCTTGCTCTTGCGAGAACTCTAACAGATACCAATTCTTTCAATATTTCTGGCTTCAAGGGAGTTGACCAGATGGATTTGTTTGGGGATATGTCAACACCTCCTGATATGAGCAGTCCCACAGTAAGTAGAATCTGGCTTAGCTGTCTTGGTTCTTGCTTTGAGAGCAAACTTAGTCCCAGTAATAAGACCTGGTTTTACTTTGTTAGTTCTGGTTTCACTGAGACATCTGTCTACCTATCAGTGTACTAGTGTCTTAAGGCTATAATAGTATGTACTTAATAACTAGAGTAGCTAATATCATTCTTATCCAGCAGAGGTCACTTGAGACTGTGTGACAGAGATAATCCTGTATTGTTAGTCATAGAATCATGGAATGGGTTTGGGTTGGAAGTGACCTTAAAGATCATCTTGTTCCAACCCCCCTGCCATGGGCAGGGACACCTTCCACTAGGTCAGGTTGCTCAAAGCCCCATCCAGCCTGGCCTTGAATACTTCCAGGGATGGGGCATCCACAACTTCTCTGGGCAACCTGTTCCGGTGTCTCACCACCCTCACAGTAAAGAATTTCTTCCTAATAGCTAATCTAAATCTACCCTCTTTCAGTTTAAAACCATTACCCCTTGCCCTGTCACTACACTGTCTGGTAAGAGTCCCTCCCCATCTTTCTTATAAGCCCCCTTTAAATACTAGAAGGTCTCCCTGGAGCTTTCTCTTCTCTTTATGCTAAACAACCCCAAGCCTCAGCCCATCCTCATAGGAGAGGTGCTTCAGCCCCCTGATCATCTTTGTGGCCCTCCTCTGGACTCACTCCAACAGGTCCATGTCTTCCTTATGCTGGGGACCCCAGAACTGGAGGCAGTACTCCAGGTGGGGTCTCACCAGAGCAGAGGAGAGGGGCAGAATCACATCCCTCAATCTGCTGGCCATGCTGCTTTTGATGCAGCCCAGGATGCAGTTGGCTTCCTGGGCTGTGAGCGCATGTTACCAGCTCATATTCAGTTTGCCATCCACCAATACCCCCAGGTGCTTATTCACAGGGCTGCTCTTAAACCACTCATCACCCAGCCTGTATCTGTGTTTGGGATTTGCCCTGATCCAGGTGCAGGACCTTGCACTTGGCCTTGTTGAACTTCATGAGATTTGCACAGGCCCACCTCTAGTCAGATGTCTTAAAAATATGTACTAGCAGTAGATGCCTCTGCTGCTATGAAAGCTATTACAGAAACTCTGCTAAAGACACTTAAAGCTGAAGCTTATTATATAGACAAGTGAATCCTTAAGTAAGTCCCACAGAGTGGACTCCTGGCCATTCTAGATAAGTAGCCCTAGCTCAAGATGTGGCCTAACTCCACAAAAGTGTGCATAAACCTTGTTGTAGCTCAGTATGACCTCAAAAATGCTACCAGTTTATTCTGACACTGTAAGCCACCATCAGCCATGAGACAACTGGTGCTGTCAATCCAGCTAGTGACCAAGTCTTACCCTTCTACTGCCTGTTTGGTGGAGAGATGGCATGTTAACATTTGCCACCAGCAAATAGCTCTCTAATCTTTCTCTGAAGCTGAGACTGCAACCTGAAGTCATGCTAAGGCAGTGTGATTTCACAACTTGTCAAAACAAAGGACTAGAATGCAAACAGGGGTTCTTGACTCAAGTGAAAGTCTGGGTGTAATTAGTGCTTAATGACTCTACAGTCTCTAGGCTGTAGAACAACATTTGATATTTAACTAAGGTATCTTAAAACAGGAGCTTTTAACATTGAGTTTCTGAAGCTGAGTAGCTGTGATTTGACCATAGCCAGCAGTGCTTGCTTTAGCTACTTATAAGATGAAGTTCTAGTGCAACTTCACTGTGACATTGACACTGTGACATTAGTGTAATGTATTGGATACTAAGGTCTCTTCTTTTGCAGCTGTTTTCCTTGAGCTTGTGTACTATGCAGCAAGTCCTATGTAAAACTAACTTTATTTTTCTTTCTGAACAAATAGGAAGCTAAAGAGATTCTGTTAGTGGATCTAAATTCTGAAATTGAGACCAAACAGACTTTTACAAAAGAGGATCTCTTCTTGAATGGCATCACAACCTCTCTTCCACAACCAAAGCCACAGCCACCCTTCTTGCCTGAGAGTTCTTTCTCTACCAATCTCAGCTTCTTTCCCACACCTAATCCAGACCCTTTCAGCGATGATCCTTTTGCACAGCCAGACCAATCTGCACTGTCTTCATTTGATTCTTTAAAATCTGCTGATCAGAAGAAGGAAGGTCTGAGTACCTTGGCACCAGTGGGTAACGGTGCTTCAAATGGTGATATTGACTACTTTGGTAAACAGTTTGACCAGATTTCTAATAGAACTGGCAAACGAGAAGCACTAGCAAGCCAGTGGCCACTCTTGAGAGTATCATCTGCAGCAAGAACTCCAAATGGGGTACCAGAGAGAGAACAGAATGGCTTTCTTAAAGCCCCGTCAAACCTGTTTGTGGAAGGTCCTTCCAAAGGAGTATCTCTGCAGAATGGAGTAAAGCTGGATTCTGAAAGTAGTATCCAGCTCATGTCACATGAATCTATAACAATTAGCCCACCACCACAAAGTACCAAGCCAGGAAGAGGAAGGAGGTCTGTCAAGGTGAACAATGTTCAAGAAATTAATGGTGATATGCATGCTTTTACTTAGAGAAGCTGGGTGAAGGAAGCTTTTCTTTATTCCTAATGTGTAACTGGCTAAACAGCTTCACAACACATCTACTTCTCTTCTACCTGCTGTACTTACTCTAATCTCCCTGTAGCCATGGTACATTCTAAAATTCATGAATTTCATAATAGCTATGGTCACTAAATTATATGCTCTCTTCCTTAATGCTGCCATACTTCTGTAAAGGTCTGGTAAGTATGCTGCTATGTATATTGATACAATACTTGATACAATGCCAGAACCTGTTACGATAGCTGTAAGCCCATCAGCCTGTGGTTTCATAACACTGAGGTACTAGTACTAGCTTACAGAAACCTATGTAGTTTCTCAGTACCTGCCTACTGAGGGCAATCTCAGTGACTTGTCTGATTAGGTGGTTCTGGGTCAGCTGCATTTGCCTTGCACTCAAATGATGCAAAACTCTGTTGCTGATCTTGCCACAACTGCGGGGGGTGACTGCAGGCTGAGGAGGAATGTTTAGAGGGATGGGGGGCAGAAGCAAGCTCATTATGATAGATAAAGTGACCAAATTATTTGCTAAGTCGTATTCTTCTGCTGTTGACTTGCGACTACTATATATTGTACCTACTTAAAGCCATGCATCTCAGTAGGCATGATCAAAACAGTGAAGTTTGAAACTCTTATACTTGGTCTCTAAAGGGTACATCAAAGCTCCCTGCTTTGCTCTAGCTGAAATGAAAACTTGTAGCTCTGGCCTAGGGAGTCTTGATCATTCTAGCATGTGTTCTGCCATGCCATCTCACAAAGCTTTTTTTCTTTCTAGACTGCATCGAATGACTTATTTAGCTCAGACTTCTTTGTGCCGATTACAGAGAGCCTTAGCTTGACCTCAGTGGCACAAACAGGACCTGTGCCAACTAATCCACTGGACCTCTTCAAACCAAGTTCTACCACAGCACCTCCCTTGGCTGGTCTAGGTGAGTTCACAAAGTGAAGGTCTTGCTCTATTCCAAGATATCTTCTAACACCAAAACAGGCATTGTAGTTTTCTTTTACTTCATGTGTAATGCCATGCCCTTTAATCCATGTGCTGTCTGCCCTGAACTATAAAGTTCTGTGAATAGAGGCCTAAACTCTGCATCCTTAACCGGAACAGGGTTTTTTGCTTAAACTTTGTCAGCAGATTGCTTCTTCAGGTACACAAGGTTCAAGTTAGCCAAGCACAACCTGGGAGGCTAGGATTAACACTGCTGCAGAGTCTTAATAATCATTTACACAGAAGTAACTGTATGGCAAATGCATCTATCACTTCTGTACTAGGACAAAGTATGTTCCTCCTTGTTATGTCAATCTCAGTTCTGTTCTTCCGGGACTGAAATGGAGCAAAGTAAAAAATGTTAAACCCCTTCTCCCCTCCCTCCAAATGACTTAATTTTTTAGGTGTAAATCAACAGATTTTTTGCAAACAGCACATGAAAAATGTTTTGCTGGTACCCTCAGTGGAATTGATACGCTTCTGCTTGACGTCTTCAGATCACTGAAGTGCTGTGTAACAACAATCTCCCCCCAGGTGGCTTGCCGGTAACTTCATCACCATGGAGTGCGCAGACACCTGCCTTCACTCAGGCTGCATCGGTCTTTCCTGGATCTATGATGCCTGCTCAGACTACAGGATTTACTCAACCACTTGCCTTTGGTACTCAAGCAGTGCCAAGCTGGAACCAGCCTGCATCTTTTGGTCCAGCAGCCCCTCAGCCCTCTGGTCTCTGGGCACAGGCAGCACAAGTTCCATCTAGTTCATGGGCACAGCCATCCAGTTCTGTAAATCCCTTCCAGAGTAGTGTGTTCCCACCTTCAACACTACCTGCTCAGATGCCATCTGTACTGCCCTCCATGTCAACAACAACTAGCCCACCTCAGCCACCACCTAGAACTGCACCTCAGAAAGAGCTGTCCAAGAAAGAGAGTGATGCTTTTATTGCTCTGGATCCACTTGGTGATAAAGAGATGAAGGATGTCAAGGAAATGTTTAAAGACTTCCAGCTGACAAAGCCACCTGCAGTACCAGCAAGGAGAGGAGAGCAGCAAAGCCTTTCAGGTGCTTCTGGAGCTTTCAGCAATTATTTTAGTAGGCATTCCTCAAGATAGTACAGATCATGATGACATAGAAGTTAGCAAGCTGTTTGCCAAAATGACTGGGATTTTTTTTTTTTCTCCTTGTGCTTGGATAGCTGCTCAGGGATTGGGATGGCTGGTCACTAGTCTCTTCTGATAGAACTAAAAATTTGATATAATTATTACTGAAACAGATGATTGAAGAACTGTCTCCCCTAATAATGTTACAGAATTGATCAATGTCAGTGGCTAAACACTGATACCTAGTGCCTGAACTACTTGACTAGAATGTACGGACCTAGTTTACCTCAATGTTAGAAGTCCCATCTAATTTAAGTGTAGTGAGGGACAAGCAGGAGATAAAATTGTGATGTCACTCAAAGCAATTTCTGTGTGGGTGCTTTCGTGTATCTAATTAGATAAGCTTTGGTGCTGCTATACAGGCAGAGCTGAGTACTTGTTAAAGCTGTTAAGTGATTATAGCAGTATGTCTCTTTTCCTTAGAACCACCAAAGCCTGTTCCCCGACAAAGTGTGCTGCCAGCTGATGGCCTGTTTGAAAGTCAAGCTAAAACAGACCTTTTCAGTGCCTCATCTGTAAGTAATAAAGAAAAAAAAACAAGACCCAAAAAAACCAACCAAACAAAAAACCCTGACCTTTTTCCTTAACAGGGGTGCCTGTGTTTGAGCACTGGCTTAGTTCTGGCTTTAGAGGCCATGGAACAAAACTTCTTGCATGTGTGAGGCTAATATTTAATCTAACAGAGGGCATTTGTTGCAAGAAGGCTAACAAAATATGATTCCATTTGGCTTGGGTCCATAACCAGTTCCCCAAGCTGCAAGACCTAGCAGAAAGTTCTTCAGTAGTGGGAGCTTCTACAAGAGACTGTAAAATAACATAGCTGCAGAAGTCTTCCACTTTGGTTATACTTACCTCTCTGGAGTATACCGAGC